TTCATGTATTTGTAACAAAAGGTTCAAACCTGATGCAGAAAGTTAACGTTTCAGTTGGGCCTACAGTGGTACGGTGGTGCAGTGGTACGGTGGTGCAGTGGTCGGACGCTCCACCGACCACACAGCAGGTTCTACGTTCTGAGTTACTGTGTGTTTGTAAACATTGATCATTTCCTGTGTGAGGCCGCTGTACTACAGTGTACAGGAGTACTGTAGTACAGGAGTACTACAGTACTCCTGTACTATAGTGTACAGGAGTACTGTAGTACAGGAGTACTGTAGTACAGGAGTACGACAGAGTGTAGGGAGTTGATGTTCCGTGAGGTTCTGTCAGATGTCGGTGGTTCCACTCATTTTTCTACGACAACGTTTTCGTTCACATTTCTTCGTTAACAGTTGAAGAACGATCTAAAATGGTGGTGTTTTCCCGCGGCTAGGCTAATCCTGACAACAACGCCGTCCACACGGCTTCTTCTTTGGGTTTAAAGGCAGCGCCGGCTCGCACTGCTGCCACCTACTGGGGTATTTTTCTTTTCAAGTAGACAATAACAGACCAAGGAAAAGTGAGAGAAGAACAACATAAAAACACTTCCTGTGACTTCCTGTCTCAGCTGACGCTGTCCGTTACTACCTCCACGACTACCGAGTATTTCAGAGTACTGTTACTGTACACGCAGAGAACCCCCCCACCCCCACCCCCCTACACAGCCTGTGTGCGCCCCTGCTGTTATGACACTCACCTTCCAGCCTGCAGAGCTGTTGGTGTCGCCTTTATCCTTGAAGTACGGCACGCTCTTCACCATCCAGTCGTAGATCTGGGACAGAGTCAGCCTCTTCTCCGGGGAGCTCTCGATGGCTTTGGTGATCAGGTCTGCGTACGACATGTTCCCCCAGGCGTTACGGCGGGATGAGGGGCCGGGGGCGGCCTTCCCTCTGGCGGCCACCCCACAGCGCGGAGAGGCGGGGCGCGTTGTGCCGGCGGCGGCGGCGGCGCCTGCTGCTGCTGCTGCAGACCAGGGACCTGCTGCTGCTGCTGGAGGTGATGGTGATGATGGTGGCGATGGTTGTGATGAAGATGCACGGGTTGTTTCTGCTCCTCATACTCCTCGTAGTCCTCCTCCAACAAGCCCAGGTTACTGATGAACTCGGCGTTTCCTCCGAGCTCCTGCTGCACCGACGGCGCCGGGGAGGACGTGTTAGAGCCGGCGGGGTCCAGGAGCTCCGGCCGCGGCAGGGGCCAAGTGCACGACCGCGGGCGGGAAAGAGGCTCAAAGTCCGGGTCGATGTCAGCCGTCTGTGTCGGGACCTCAGCCATGTCTGGGTCCCAGGTGTCACATAAAAAAACTCCGACAAAAATACACAGAAAGATTCAGAGAGAGAGAAAAAAAGCAGCAACAACAAATGCTGCCTTCACGGCCCGTAAACCACAGCGGTGTGAAGAGGATGGAGACTTAAGAAAGTAATTTAGTTCAAGGTCTTTGGAGAACTTCCACCAATCCCACACCGACCAAACAACCGACCAACCAACCAACCAGCTGCTGCTGCTGCTGCTGCTGCCGCTGTGTGAAAACAGGCAGTACAAAGTCTGGTGCTGCCTTCAAGGACCACCCACTGACTCCGACTCTTGTTAGAAACACTTTGTCAAGGTGCATTTAAGGACTCGATGGTTGGAAATCCCGACTGAATCTGTGGGAATCAATAAACAGACATCATGATAAAACATGACATCGATCCAAGAACTGCCCCGGGGTAAAAAAAAACAAAAACAAAAAAAAACAACCTCACAGACAGTTTAAGGAAACTTCAGTTTTCAAATACGGTATGATATAAAAAAACCAAATGTTCATAAATAAACCCAAACCTCTCCTCGTTGTATCAACTGAGATAAAAAACAGACAGTTTTATTATTCATGTTAAAGTGAACTTTGTTGGCGCTCAATAAAGACAACAACGAGCAGCGAGGCGCCATACACTAGTGCCATCTAGTGGACAACAGTTCAACAGCACAGACTTCCTACCTTTCTTCTATATTGACCATAGCTGAGGTTCATCAGGATCACAGCTCAGACTGTGGTGGTTTCCCAGTTTTCTCCTCAGTCAGGAGGAGGAGGAGGAGGAGGAGGTGGCAGGAGCAGCCTGTTTTCCACTCTCACTTTTCCACTACAGTCCACGTTGTATATAAACCTGCAGTGAGGTGTGCTGCCAACGTCTTATCACTGAGGAAAAGTGAACAAACAAAGTGTGGAAACGGAGCTCTGTGACCGGTCGGACAATGGCTGAGCACAAGTGTTTTTAGACCAGGAGGGGGAGGGGGGGGGTTTGTGTGCCACATTGTTTTTAACTCTACGACAACTTCCCCTGGAGGGGCACAAGGTTCACGGAGTGATTCTGTTTTTTACTGTAGGCCCGATGTGACGTCATAAGTGCTGCGTCGAAGCTGGAGCGGTTCCACCAGGATACCTGGAAAAATACCATTAATCACGACTCACCAGGAGGACGAAAATATTTTTGTTTGAAGGCCGTTTGTTCGACCGTAGAGCTCCGTGTTTGTCCGTCGAACACATCCGTGTTTTTGTGACTGTAACTTCGCTGAAAAAACACGCTGTTGCCGTGTATTTATATAAACTTTTTACACCATGAACTACAAAAACACACTGTGATGGAATTCACTCCGATTTAATGAAGTTGTGTTTAGTGACCACCAGGGGTGTATGGTGTTTCTTCTCTTTATTTTTATTTTTTCGTCTAGTGGTCTAGATAAACTGAAGTCCAGCAGATGGCGGTAGAGCCAACCGTAAGGACCGGCTCGTGGCCCAGCTTTGGAGACACCCCAGCGTGAAGATCTTATAACTGTTTTTTTGTGATTTTAACTTTGGATTTTAACCCCCAAATTCAACTTTATAAGTTGATTTTTGGGTGGTTATTATACATTATAAAATATAGCAAAAAATAAACTAAAATACACTATAAAATAATTATATGCACCAACATTTTGGATCACAGGAGAGAGATCTTTGTAAATAATTTGATTTGTTTCCATATTTGCCTCAAATCCTCACTTTTACGACGACAAATCCAGACCAAGATCCGAATCATATTTACAGAATTTTATTCCATTATGTTGCAAACAATGACATCCAGATATATTGATACACAACTTTTACTGTGCGTGTATGTGCATTGGTGAGTGTATGTGTATGTGTGTAAGAGAGCAGTGACACCACAGAAAGCAGAAAGAAAACTTTTGCGGCGCCCTCACTAGGTTTTGAAGGCAGAGATTAAGAGCTAGTGAGCGAGAGGGCACCAGGCGATTTCTTTGAGGGAGGGGCTTACAGACAAAGACACACACACACACACAAATCTCTTTTTTTAACCTCTGTCAAATGCACATTAGCCTGTGGGCCGTGTGTTCAGCAGCTTGTGGGTCGTTAAGGTCCTGTGAGTTTCCAGAAAGTCCGTTTGTTGATGAATGAATGAACACAGTGGGTGAGAGGCTTCTCCCCCCCGTCCATCAGAGCAGAGAGGGTGGAGAGCGTCTCCTGTCCTAATGTACAAACACACACACACACACACACACACACACACTCACCCACACAACCTCGCGTGACTCCGACAGGAAGTTAATACTTCACTTCTGGTCCTGACAGCTGTCACTCATCATCAGCAGCTGTGCAGTGACAGAACAACAACAGAGGAAGGAGAAAAACTAAATAACAAAAAAAAACTATACCCCTTCAACAGGGGGTGCCATTGGTTTTTTCGTGCACCGTCAGTTTCCAGAAAAAGACACCTGTGGCAGCACACGGGGATATTCACCCTTCAACCAGGTAGTCATGACAACCATATGCAAAGTCTGCAAATTTACATTTTTGTTGTTTTACCATGCAAGGAATACTTCTTATCTTCTGAGTGTGTTTATGTGTCAGAGACTGCGTGACATTTATTAGCGTACCCTACATCCAGAATAATTTACATAAAAGGACAATAGTCACCTTAGGAGGACTGGAAGTGACGGGGGGGAGGAATGGGGGGGGGGGGGGGGAGGGGGGGGGGGGGTGAAGGAGGAGGGGGTAAGCGCCATGGTCAACTATGGTTGGTAGTGCGAGAGGTGAGAAGCTGAGCTGGGAGTCAGGTCAGAGGGGGGAGGCTGGGGGTCAGACGGGTGAGGAGGGAGGACGGTTGACTTCAGCGACACTCCCAGACTTTGACTGTCTGATCCACACTTCCTGTCACCACGTAGGGAGCCGTCTTATGGAAATCTGTGAGGGACCACAAACGTCCGATCAACTTTTTAACTCAACGTCAACGCCGTCCCGACAGGGAGAACACCTGGAGACTTTTCCAGACTTTTCCAGGACAATCATCTGTTTTTACAGCGTCCACACTGAGCTGCAGTAATGATCCAGTACCTCATCATTAACGTTAGAACTATTAAATAATTAATTAAATGTTCCTTTGTTACAGATGTTTTTTATTTATTATTATTTTAAATTAAGTCAATAATTATTTTAATTTGTTCTGTAGATTTGACTTCTCATGTTTAGGGATGGCGACTCACCCAGGGAGGTAACGAAGTGTTCGTGGGCGCTCAGGGTCTTCAGGCAGCGTTTGTTCTTGTAGTCCCAGATCCTGATGGTTTTGTCGTCAGCGCAGCTCACGATGAAGCGTCCACCAGGGTGAAACATGAGACCACGGACCCAGTTGTCGTGTCCCACCTGAAAACCAGAGACACAGTTCACAGACAGTTGGTTTTTAACTCAGACAAACAGGAAGACGTCAAAGACGTCAAATATACCAAACAGACAGAACCAGTAGAGTACCGACCAGAGTCATGAGACACATGCCAATGCTGACGTCCCACATCTTTATGGTCTTGTCTCTGGATCCAGACAGAAGGAAGGGACCAGGTTTCCCACTTTTCTTACTCTGCAGGGCAACAGAGGAAGAAGGTTAACGGTGAAACTACTCACTGATGAATCAGTGAAATGTGACGTGAACAACGTGAAGACAAACAGTAGAGTCAACAACGACGGTGTTCAGTCCTGGATTCTGGTCCAGTTCAACACTACAGCAGTTTGATCAGTGTCAAACAGACCGTATGAGTCGTATGTTTCTGATTGACCTGGTTAACTGTCAATATATAAAACAAAAATATATAAAAAGCAGGAAGTGGACAGAGTTCCTCTGGAGAACACTGTTGGTGTCCAACACCTGAACGTCTCTCAGCCTACGTAGGACCTGACTACTGGGTTTGATAGAGGGTCACAACCAACGTTTTAAGGCACATACTGCCACCTAGTGTAGTAGACAGCAAAGTGTTTTTATTTGATCCATTTCTAACCGTTATCATCTGTAATATTAAAACAACGACGTTTGTTGTAATCAATACAAACTTTACCTCTGAGCCCGTGGCCTCCAGGATGGTGGGGTGAGCACTGTCAGGCGCCCAGGAGATACACTCCACCACATGTTCGTGCTCCCTCAACTCAGCTTTGCACTCCTTGGAGGCCACCACCCAGACACGCACCGTCTGGTCGTTGGAGCAGCTGGCGATCAGCGAGCCGTCCTGGTTGGGACGCACCATCCTCACCCACTCCCTGTGGCCCGTGAAAGTCTTCACACAGTACCTGACGAGACACAAGTACTACTTCAAGTACTGTCATTTCAATGAAGTACATCTATTTTGGTTAATGCTGGACACAAGACTCCCCCCTTCCTCACCCAGTGGCCACCTCCCACATCTTGATGGTCTTGTCCCTGGAGGCAGACACTATGTGGTCGCCGTTTGGCATGATGGCGACAGACGACACGTTGTGATCATGGCCTGAACGACAGTCAACAGTTTAGTACACGTACGTGTGTGTGTGTGTGTGTGTGTGTGAGACTGACATGAACGACGTCAACTTTGTTAATAACTCACCGTGCATCGTTCGGATGCACTCGAAACCCTGGAAGTCCCAGAGTTTGATGCTCATGTCGGCTGAACAGGAGGCCAGTAGTTTTCCTGTCTGATCAAAGGAAATGTCCTGCACAGAGTCCGTGTGGCCCTTCAGGGTCCGCTCAAAGTCTCCTGCCTCGTAGTCCCAAACCTGAGGGAACACAGAACAGGTCGGGTCGGTGGGACAGAACAACAAACACCTTAAAACAACTTAGTTAAAGAAGAAAGGAGGAAATGTGATAAATGAAGAGCAGCACAGGTTAACGTTTAAATTCTAATTAAATTTGAATAACAACGAGGAGGAGCAGGAGGAGCTGCTGGAGGAGGAACAGATTTGCATGTTTCCTGAATTGCTGTCCTGAGGGAGTGTCGCCTCTGACAACAACTGCATCAGCCGATCTCATCACAGATGAGCAGTGACAAAGCAGAAAAAGATACTGGGGAAGGGAGGGAGGGACGGG